AGTAAATACAAATAAGGTTTGTAGACTTAAAAAATCCCTTTATGGACTTAAACAGTCTCCTTGTGCATACTTTGGAGATTCACCAAATCGGTGACCAAGTGTGGCTATACTCAATGTCAAGCTGATCAAATGTTCACCTAAAGGAAAGAAAGCAATCTTGATAGCGTACGTAGATGACATTATCATTATAGGTGACTTTAAGGATGAGCTATCCAGATTAAAGAGGTTCCTAGCAAAAGAATTTGAAGTAAAAGAGCTGGGATATCTAAAATACTTCCTAGGCATAGAAGTGGCACGATCACAGCATGGTATATTTGTGTCTCAATGCAAATACATCCCAGATCTCTTGCAAGAGACTAGGATGCTTGGATGTAAACCTGTAGATACTCCCATAGACTCAACAAAGAAGATTGGAACTATCGAGAATAGTGCACCTATTGACAGGGAAAGATACCAACGCCTCGTGGGAAAACTTATCTATCTTTCACACACTCGACCAGATATTAGCTTTCTTGTAAGTGTAGTAAGTCAATATATGAACAATCCAACAGAAGAATACATGGAAGTTGTTAACCGAATTCTAAGGTACCTTAAGATGACATCAAGAAGAGGCCTACTCTACAAGAAATCCTCAAGTAAAGAGATTGAAATCTACTTGGATGTTGATTGGGCAAGTGATATTTCAGATCGAAGATCGACATCATGTTACTGTACTTATGTATGGGAAAATCTCGTAACATGGAGAAGTAAGAAGCAATCAGTTGTATCGAGGAGTAGTGCAAAAGTAGATTTCAGAGCATTGGTGCTCAGAATTTGCGAAGGAATGTGGTTAAGAAGATTGCTCAAAGATCTAGACTTTAGTGTTACGAAGTCACTAAAATTATTTTGTGATAATCAAGTAGCCATAATTATTGCAAAGAATCCAGTTCACCATGACAAAAATAAGCACATTGAGATAGATCGTCTCTTCATCTCAGAGATAATAGAAAGTGGGATAGCTGAACTGATATATGTTTCAACAGGTTCTCAAATTGTAGATGTCCTTAATAAAGCTCTATCTAGGATTAACTTTGATGATTTGATCAACAAGTCGGGCATGGTCAACATATACGACCTAGCTTGAAGGAGAGTATAGAGATTCCAAATAAAGTTAATCCTAGGATCTATGAATATTTTCCATACTTAGCTGATTTATACTATTTTATGTTAAATGAGAATTTAGGTAAGTATTCTGATTTCTCTCTACTTAGTTTTTCCTAGTTTAGTAGATGAATAATTTGGTATGTACCAAAATTACTAGGAGTCTTAATTGGCTGCCTGTATTTATTTAATAGTATGTTTTCCTTCATTCAGTGAATAAGAATAACAAGAATTCTCTCTCAGCATTTCACACTTTGTTATCCAAAGCTTTTAGCACAATAGATCGATGATTACGCCAATGCTTTTCCTTTTTTTTGTATAATTTATTTTCCATGACAAGTGTCAACATAAAAATTTTCCTGCATCAAAGTACACAATATTGATAGTATTTTAATTTAAATTGTCTATGTGACATGAAGTTTGTATTACTTGGACATGCTCCCATATGTCATCAAGAAAATTTTCATTGAAATCTTTCCAAATTTTCCTTGCAATATGTATAAGTTTCCTAGGTGTGGATGCAAGCAACAAAGATAACTTATTTGAACCTTTACAACTTGGTGCCCTTATTTATTAAACTCTATCGGTTACTTTGCGCATTTTCCCTTGTCGAGATAATTTAATTTTGTTTGACCTTTCCCTTCTTTCCTTTATTAGTGGTACTGACACTCTTAGACAAGACTTGTGTATCATTTTCTTCTATGTCTAGAATACAAGTAGAACATCCACGGGATATTCTTATGCATTCATTCTGTTCTCTTGTGGCAGCAAAAATTGAAGTTGTTTTAGCTCGTTTTAATTTCTTGCAGCCTTGATTAGATGCATGTATTACACAAATAAGAAAAACACATTGTCACTTAAATATACAATAGAAGCATTAAAAACCCTTATATACAACTGATAATTTACTTCACCAAGATCTCGCATGTTTTATGCCCACTCATTTGTAAGTCAATATCCACAAAATTCAACCTTCATTGTTTGCAGCTATATAAATGAAGCGAGAAGGAATGAAATTAGAGACGTTAGAGATATTAACATCAATGTTACATAAATGAAAAATAAAAATAAAGCAAGAAAAAATCTTAAAGATATACAATTACCATATTCAATATCAATGCCTTACAATTATGTCTTACATAACCTTCATCTTCAATAGTAATATCAAGTTTTAATACATCTTACGTGGAGTATAAGCCTCCTCACTAATGAAATCCTCTGGGAGGTGCCTTTAATACAATATACCAACTAGATGTATCACTCTATAATAGAAAAATTTGTATCCTTCACACTAGATTGACAAAAAATTGCTCTTTAATAGAAACACCATTGTTTTGCGTACTTCTTCTAACATCAGTTGTATAAAATCAGTGCCCATTGATAACATAATTAGAATGTGACATCACATATCTAGGCCAACATACAAGCCACTTCAATGTACTAGACATTATCAATTGTCTTGTTTGCCTTTCTCTTCAAACAAAGAACTACAAATCTCGATATCTCTCATTTGTAGTAAGCTCTCATTCTTGGCAATACTGCTATCTAAATTTTTAATATCCGCTTTATGCTTCCTATATAGAAATAAATAAATAAACAATAAGACAAATTTATGAGACAACGTTAATCATTATTAAATATGTTATATATGGTTCAACTGCAACGCTGTTAAACTACACAGAATGACGAGGGACGTCAAAAATTTCTTCACTCAAAGGCTTTGACATTCCTTTGGAAATTGTAAGTCTATCAATAATTATTTCATTCTTGAAGTCCTCATTCTAAGTATGTTGAGCACCTACTTCAGCAGCTTGTTTCATATAGCAGCTTGTTTCATATAACCACTACAAAAATGCATTCATTGACTAACTAACGCTCTGTTGTGTAGCCTTTAGATCGTGAGTGATTTCTACAGATTCTTTAATTGTCTTTATAAACCTAATTGGTGACATAGTAGGCATGAGATACCTAAATAATTTGAAGTTAAAAGGTTGAATAATTATAAAAGTATAATTATGAATTGATAGTAAGTTACTTCTCAAATGGGTACATCCAACGATACTAGTCCATCAATACAAACTTCAAGTCCAAGGTGAATGTTTAAATGAATCATTATGTCAAAACAAGGGTAAAAACGACCAAAAAAATGAAAGAAGTGGACGTTTTGTAAAATAATAATGAAATGTATATATATTTTGTGCTAATTACCCTTTTAATAATTTATTTGGATTAATTTGTACTTTTTTAAAAAGTTTGGGAATATGATTGCAATTTATTCGTTAATTTTTTTTCTCTCTTTTATTGTTTTATTTAAATAGGAGGTATATTTGTCATTTTACATGATAAATTTAATGAAAATGATGATTTCTGCAATAAAATATGAAGATAAAGGTAAAAGTAAAAGTGCCAAAAAATGAAAGGTAGAGACGTTTTGCACAATGACATTGAAAAGTAAAGACGTTTTATGCGAATTACCCTTTTTTAACAAAGGTTTGTACAAGAACTTAATTTTTTTTTTAATGTCAAAATTCTAAATGTGGTCCAAATCATGACAAACAGCCTAAATAAATGTACGAGTTGTCTTTTATCAAACTTGCATTGATGAATTGTGAACTGTGAACTAACTTGTATACATTTATTATGGTGCAACAAAATTCAATTTGATCACAGCCAAATATTTGCTATATTGTTTCTGATTTCTCGCCACCTTATTTTTCTAAAAGAGAAAACGAAAAGAAGAAGGAATTTATTTTTATTTTATTATTATTTTTTTAGTCAACAACCCCCCGTTGTTATAGAACATGTACTTAGATCACAATAAAACATAGCAGGTAAATAATTGCACCTCCATGCTCGGTTTGTAGATTTTCTTTTCAGTGATATCTATACTGAGTTGTAAAGCAAAATTAATAAAGCCATAAATGTAATTCAATTCTCTTAAAACCTATGTAATAAATCTTAGCCTCATTTATGCATCACTGAGTAAAACGTGTTAAATTTTTTATTTTTTATTTTAAATCAAAGATCAAACATGTGAATGAATTTTGTTGAAAAGACAAAAAATATATTACAAAATTCTACTTATTACATTATTTTATATTTTAAACTAGATCTTTTTTTTTTGGTGGGTTCTTGATAATTTGTTTTGGGTCATTAATTGTATCACACTTATTGTCCTCATTATTTATCCTTTTTGAATAATTGATCTCTCCTATTTAAGAAAGGTCCACGTTTAATGTTCTTATTGGATGTTACTAGACCATACCTCCATTATAGCTTCTACCATTTTCATATTTTATATGGATCATGGATAATGTACATTTTTCAGTTCTTATCAGTTGAAAATTACCTAATCTTGATAACATATATAAAATTCAAAAATGAAAAGTAATTTGTGTTAAAAAAAGTAAATAAATAAGAGACCAAAGACAAAATTATCCTGAGGCTTAAGTGCATGTTTTGACTGAGGTAGATATGTTTTAAAATAAATAAATTTTTGTTAGTTAAAGTTAAAAATGAAGAATTTATTTATTATGAATCCTAATTTATTGTCACATGTAATTTATTTTTGCTGAAAAAAAAAAATAAAATTAGCACATCTACATGTTCTATACAAAATATTATATAAAGTAGTTTGAAATTTTTTAAAGCTTAGCATAACATGCTCTTATTTTCAAAACAAATAACTTTTCACTGATTCAAGTAAAATAAATAAGTTCATTGTTTTAGATTAATCTATGCCCAATTATCTAGATAAGTTACTTGTTTAGTTACAAAATAATATAATATCCAAACATGGTTAGAAATAAAATTTATATCAAGTGGCATATGCTATATTCCTTCCAATATCTCTCTATATATACACACTTATACACATATGTACACACACAAAACAGCTAACCCAGCTTTATATTTTCAATACAATCATCATTTTCTATACAACTTTTCAATCAAAATTAGCTTGAAATTATTCAAGAATTATGGATGCCCCAACCTCCCAAGAGATGTCGTATGTTGATCATATCAAAAGGCGACACGAAGAGAAAGGCTTTCTCTATGCATGGTTTGTTTAACAGATGTTATGTATTTTTACTGCAATGGAAAAATCATTCAAATGATCAATTCATTTTATTTTTTCTTTTTTGTAAAGATTAATATTGTTACATGTCTGATACAGTTTGTTCGCACTGTGTTGCTGTTTTTGCTGCTATGAGGCTTGTGAGTGCTGTCTGGATATTTGCTGCTGCAACTGTGGTTAAATTCTTCACAGTAGTGAAAGATCATTTGTATGTATTATATTAATTTTTGTGTATTTTCAGAGATGGAATTCTGTGCAAGATGTAATATATTGTCGTGAACCTTTTGCAATAGCTTCTGTATTTGTATAATGACTAAACATCAAATATGGAACATCATATAATTTTATCAATATTTTAGCTGACTGGATGAATATTTGAATATGAATAGGGTTGAGAATCCCGAAAGATTTAAATGATGATGTAGGGTATTGATATTAATTTACTCAAAACTCATCACTATCACAGTTCACACTATATAACCCATAACTAAATCTAGCCCAGTTCACTGGCGCCACCATTTCATCCAGTCCCAGTAACGCTAGACGTACAAGGCAGACGTTCACAGCAGTGACAGATCTAGGATTTCGAGTCAGCATGGGCGATCATTGACCGCCGACATCCGGTCCAATAAAATATTATGAGCTCGTTTTATGTCCTTTTTTTGTTGCAAAAAATGCATTTTGAAATAATGATTTGATGGAAAATATGTTGTTAAAAATGAGGATAACATTTGAATTTGAGTGTAATATTATTTTATTAAAAAATATATGGTTAGAAATAAAAGAGAGAAAAATATATTCTGAAATAAATGGGAATCAAAGAAGACCTAAAATTTAAATATAACAATTATTTTGTTGAAATTGAACATACATAATTTTGTTATAAGAATAGACCATACTCATCAAATGACATTGTTGCCAAATTTTATATAATTCAAAGGAAGAGCACAGGTTCAAATTTTTTGCTCTTGCATTAAAACACGTTAAAATCTAAATTATATAAATTTGTTAACAACATTGTCACAGTTCATAGTATGGCATGATAGTCAAACCTTTAACCATTCCAACAAGAGCTCCAAGTTCAAATCCCCATTCCTCATTCCATCAATTTTTGGTAAAAATTGTAGAGTTAAAAATAATTGTACAATAAAAATTGGTTTATAGAGGATTCGAACTTGGGACATGCAAGAAGTAGAAACCAGTGTTAACCAACTCGACAAGAAGAAATGTCTGGATAGACAGTGTATTATTAGAATCATAACCTAAAATATTTATCTATTGTCAAAAAAAAAAAAAATTGGCTGCCGGTGGATCCACCAGTGGTTCACAAGCCTTTGTCAGGACAAACATAAGGGGCAAGGTCCAAGCGATTATTTTATTTTATTTAATGCAGATTGGACCCACCGACCTGTCCTCTACAGTGAGGGGCCTGTAAGGCCCCTGTATGAATAGTGCTCTGTACTTAGGACATTATTCATCTAGTCCTGATTAAATTTGGCTGATTGTTCAAATTTCTTCAATATTTTAATATACATAGTTTTTGTTAAGGATAAGGCACAAGACATCTCAACTCTATTAATATAGCTTGGCTGAAGACAATGGGTTGACCTCAAACTTGAGCACCTATTGTAACAAATACAGACGAACTGTTTTTATCTTAGAGTTTTGTTATTTGTACACCGAGTTTAACGCCACGATATACAGCCCCATCACAATACGAGGGCCCGCGACCAATATAAAAATTGTGAGCCCCCTATTGTGACGGGGTTGTACACTAAGCAAATCTCCTTTACCTTATCATGTAAAATTGATTAGTTTTAAAATCCCTGTGATTTATCTTATATTATATCCGATTTGTATGTAAGCTACTGTACATTCAACGAAAAATACACTTGAATCAGTTCCATTTCTAATAACTTTCTCCCAGAATTTATTTTCATCCCATATATATCTCTCATTTAGTATGGTAGTAGAGCAGAAAAACTCTCACGAGTTCTGAAAGTTTTTCCCTGTCCATTTCTGACCCAGTCCGGCCTAAAGATGATGACATGCTGAGCCTTTCGTTGCCTTTCCACTTCTTAGTTTGTATATAGCCAGTGGTGTCATTTTTCCCTTTTTTTTTTTTTTTTTTCTTTTTTTCAAATGTATATTTAGGGATCTCTCTTGTTCATTGATCTTGTAGGAGAGTGTAATATCGTGTATTATTAGAAAGTTGTATGATGGTCCTTTCAGTCCTTTGCTTTCTTCTTGATGATGTCCATTCATCACCTAATCCATCCCCCTTTCCAGTACCTTCTCCCTTGCCAACGAGTCAGCCACCAGCGAAACCACTACTAAATAAAGCATGAATATTCAGTCTTCCTCCCTGGTTCAATTTAAACCCATTACTCAACTCTCCGAGAAACTCACCTCCAGCCTAGAAAGTTTTCCCTATTCTATGGAATCAACCTGCTGGGATATCTTGATGACTCTTCTGTATTTCCACTGGAAGGAATTCCCACCTATGGCACCATCAACCCAAACCTCCATAACACCTTCTTGAAAAACGTCAAGACAAACTCAACATTCATTCCCTTCTTGAAAGCATAATTCCACTTATCTCCTCTGCTTCGATGAAAAATGAAGCCTGGACTCCTCTTCATGGTATTTTTGCTGAACGATCTCCATCCCATACATTACATCTTAAAGAAATCGTAGTACCTTTGCTACTCGCTAACCACTAGGTGACTGCTCGAGTGGTTGTGCTATTGCTTGCTGCATACGAGGCACCGCTCGAGCGGTGGTGTTATCAAACTGAAATCTATTCGTGATTTTGGCATTTTTTTACACTCCTATTCTACCTCAGCACTCCATTATTTATTAGGTCTATTATATTAGGATTCCATCATATGTTAGACTCTTTTTGTATAATATATATGAGTAAACTTGTAAAACTACGCACTTTGTAATCTTCTTCTTTATCCGTGAATATTTTTTTTATCTTTTTTTAAAATTGGATTTTCGCGTAAATCTTGTACTCTTGTTCTTATATTTCATATCGTCAATGTTGGAAATTTACCTATCATGCATAGTAAAAAACAAAATAGATTTCAATTTTCACCAAGGATATATTTTGTGTTTAGATAAAAATTGTGATAGAAATTATACATTTTTTCTAGATTTGCAAACTCATTTGCCTTTTTTTTTTTTCAACAACCTTGATTTGTCACTCACAACTGTCCAATTGTCTAGCCTCCAATAAAATTTAACACAGAGAACAAGATTGTTGAAAATCAGGGTTTTCTTCTCTTGTGTTAGCAAGAAGATAAAATTTTCTATAAAATTGTAAATCCTAACCACTTATTTATATAAACTCATATGGGCTTGGCTTGTCTCTTAATTCGATCAAATATTTAATTAATTCATTTAACTAAATTCGGTCCATGAATTAATTAATCCAATTAATTAATCAGGTCTATAAATTGGCAATTCAATTAATTAATTTATCTAACACTTGTTAAATTAATTAATTAACAAATCACAATTTTCTAATTCTCCTTTTGTGTACGATCCATCAGGTTTCCAATCACGATACCTAGCGACCTAATTATTATTTTGATTCAATCAAAATTGATAAATTAAAACACTCTTTTGATTTATCAGAAATTCACGTTTGCCGTCTCAGATTGACATCTAGTAATGTGTGAGGACAATACATGTGATGTAAAATGGCACGTGGTATAACAAAATCAAACTCGCTCGTTTACTGTGAAAACTATAATCCATTCGTTAATATGATCCGATAAATTATGAGATATAGAAGTGTGTCAATCTCAATTATCGATTATATTTTTCATTTCACTATTAAGTCAATATAAGTCGAAAACTCATTTTCAACGATTTCTGAATACACTTTGGCTAAAGATTTCGTTATCAACTTAATTGAATGAAATGTAAATCGTAATCTCCTACTATCTCAGAGTGACAAATTCGCTATTAATCATTCACAATCTTCATACGATTCTTGATATACCCGAGCGATGCAGTATTAGTGGTCCTTGGGAAAGCAACATCCAACACAACCAAAGTATGACTTTCCTCATATAAGGCATCATGATGATCTCAAGTCAAGTAACCTATTTCACTAATGAACGCTAGAGATTAACTACTGACACTCAAATAGTTATCCATGTGTAATCTCTCAGCGGTTCTCCAATGTTATGTTCTATAACAAAATATTCATGTGTTCATTTAAGTGTCACCACACTTTAACTTATTAGACCAGCTACTTTCTTCACAATTAAGAAATTCCATGCATGGTAATCTATCCGTAATAATGATATCCGTATCTCGTTATTACTTACGACCATAGATTATTTAAGATCCAATCATACGTAATTTGTATCTCACAATCACAATTCCTTATTATTAACAAATTATTGAAACTTGAATCTACGGACTCTATTATTTAATATTATTCATCAGAACATTAATTTAAATAAATAATAGATCTTGTCAAAAAAATAAATGCATTAAACATATTAAAAGTGTTTACAATCTAAACCGATTAGAGCTAGGGCATAGCACTTACAGTCAATTCTCATTTATTCTTAACAAGCTGGTATTAGAGCGAGATTTGATATTTTCTGCATGGCAAGTATGAAGTACGAAATTTCACTTTTCAATCGCTAAACTAGATTTTCATTATAGCACGTAAATTACGAGTAGTTCTTGTTCAGATTTATTTGGATAAATGTCTTATTAGGATTTGATAAGATACTCTCAACTTGGATGCTAGAGGAGAAACAAAGTAAAGATCGAAATGGTCATATCTCAAATTCATCTTCATTAATCAAATCAAACTCTTCAAGATTTTGAAAGAAGAAAACGATCGTTGCATTATGGTAAAAATTGGAGAAGTTATGCATGACGAAAAATCTAACTAGAAAATTACATCAGAAATAGTGATTGTATTCTCATTGCATAATAGAAGGCACGTCTATAAAAGATCACCTAATAGTCTTTAAAAAAATTTAGCATATTTGGAGACCCTGGACGTTAAGTATAATGAAAAAGATTTGGGTTGATTTTGTTTTGTTTGCTGTCTTCTTCATATATATCTTTCAAAGACACTATTTTATACCATTGAAGTATTCTTACCATATGTAAACTGTATGATACTTTGTTTTCAAATGAGAAAATGAAGTAGCTTGTCTTTATATCTAAGGCATAACACTGAGAGGGCTTTGTTTTTCATGGGAGGAATTCTGACGATTATGTGAGGGGTAGATGAAAGTCTAATTATAGCTATAAAATTTGTAGTTATTGTAAAAAAAATGAGCAGATCAAATCTGAGTGCTATAAGTTGCAGAACAAAAATAAATTATCTGTTG